GCTGAACCCATGTATCATACACATTCAGTATTTCCAAAACTCCACTTTCTAACACAAACAGTAGGTCAGTATGTCGCCAGGTGAGAGCAGGTGTGCCAGTCAGATTCCCAGAATGCATACGTATTCAGTTTTCATCTGTCACCGGTGGGACATAACGATTGCCGTGTGCTTTCACACACACACACACACTGATGGTGGCCCTATCTCTGCAAGGTGCTGCAGTGGCCATCAGGAGCAACTTGGGGTTCAGCATCTTGCCCAAGGACACTTCAACATGTGGACTAAGCACAATGAGAATCAAATCACCAAACTTCCAGTCGGGAGACGACCACTTTACTTCCAGAGCCACAGTCGCTTACCACACTTGCTATGTTTTTAAAACCAAATTGTCTAAAATGCTTTCAAGCAACATATGAATGAAACAATGTTACCATATGATTCAGGAATGTTAATTGACTGGTCATAATTCACAGATCTGTCTGTCTTCTTCCCAGGAAATTCTTTGCACATTGTTATTTCCTACTGTTGATTCTCAGTGACCTAATTCTCCCCTTCATCGGAGGAAGTATATGGTGCTATAAAGAAAATGAAAGGTGGCCCAAATGACTTCCCCACTGATTTTTATAAACAGCTTTTTAATCTTTTATCACCCTTACTTTTAGACATGTTTAATAATCCTGTGCATCACGGTTTTCACCCCAAGAAGAACAAGGAATCAATGTAATAATTGGAGACCAGAAAGTTTATTAAACCGATGTAAAACTTTTGGCAAAACATTTAGATCCTACAGGCAATGGACTATGGGAGGAAGCCAGATCACACGGAGAGAACCCATGGCACAGGCACAGGGAGAACATGCAAACTCCACACAGAAAGGACTTAAATCTCGAACTCTGGGTTTGAGCCTGGTGTTCAAGGTTCGGGTCCTTCTTCCTGTGAAGCGACAGTGCTAACCACCGCACTGCTGTGCCCCCCCCTGTGAATATACTTTTAATACAAAATTGGCTTTGGCAGATCAAGTCTTTTCTTAATTTGCTTGTCCACCTGGGCCCTCAAATAGGTCTCTGTCCCCCTCTCCTTTTTTCTGCAGGGAACTCTCAGATTTTGACCATGGGAAACATCATACCTAAACATCCTTGTGCTTTTTAACAATGTGGTCTGTATTCTCTGTTAAACCGAGGTGGCCATCAATCACAGTTTCATGGTATTTAAAGCTGCTGACAATTTTTATGGGGGAACCAATGATTGTCAGTGACTGTAATCTGGTCTGTCAGAAGTGGTTTGTGTATTGCCAGATTGAAAAAGATTTTTCTTTCTTTTTGCCAGCATTTGGTTTCAAGGCCACACCACTGTTGCAGAGAAGTTACATGATAGGCCTGTGTATTCTCTTGTAGTGCCCCCTCACACAGGAGGTCAACTACAGCCACATCATCAACATACTTTAGCAAACTGAACGGTGCATGTTGAGTTCTAAATTCATTAGTATACAAAGAAAACAACGAAGATGATGAAATGGTGACATTGTGGTGCACCTGTGTGATCATTTATGACACCCGACCTCTTTCTGTGGTCTGATGGACAGAAAGTCTCTGATCCACACATCAGTCCAACAGCCTTTGAGAATAATATGTCGTTTCATACAATTGAAAGCTGAACTAAAATCAAAATGCCCGTGGCCTCTTCTTTTAAGCATTACCTGACGCCTCCCCTCGATCCACGTTTTCTTGTTTTAATCCCAGTTCTGGAGTTCCAGATTTGCTCAGCAAATCCATCCATCCAGCAGATTCAAATTGCCCCAGTGTTTTGCCTGGGACTGCAAAAAATGTCCTTTGTGTTTAGTCTGAATCCTGTTGCAAGTAAAACAGCTACTAAAAGAAGAGTTATCCATATCACAGAGAACTTCATAGTCCTGGGTGTTTACAATCAGCATAAATTAGGTTTGCAGTTCCATTATTCCAACTGAGTACTTAAACAAAACACACCTATGTAAAACAAACTGTCAACATAGGCCTACACAGATGCAACACCTGGGTCAGCAGTCACCTCCCTACCGCTGTTCTTCTCACCACTGCACACATCACTAGTAAAGTAACATATACTTGGTTAATCTAAAATTCAAGGATGTGTATTTCCCCACTTTTAATCTTGGTGTCATAAAAACAAATCCATAAAAATTTCATTGAGTTTACTGGACAAATAGGCTTGAAACCAAATAATTTTAAATAAAAAATTAATCATGAAATGGATAATGAAATTATAATTTCTAAATAATTGGAAATGATAATAATAAATCTGTATGAGAAGACTCCAAAACATACCAAAACATAATAATTGAGCTAAACAGAGGCTTTTTAAAGGTATAAAGATCAATATCTGGTGTTCTACAGAATATACTGTATATTTGTTTTGGAAAAGTCAGCGTGGTTTTTGTGGATGCGGTGACCTGTAATCTTTCCAGCTTTGATGAATGTTCTTGTGAACACTGAACAAACAAGAAGTCAGGACATAACAGTCATATTTGGTGTTTATTAGCATAACCTTTTTGTATCTAATAAATATCAAAATGTTAAGGGAAAAAGAAGTTTTATTACAGTACATTCCATTTGCAGAGAAGCGGAGTCAAACCTACATGAATTCAAAAGAGAACAGTAGATCTGTTGGGCTGAAAGTTACAACCTTTTTCCTGGTTTAGGATTGCATTGGCTGGCAATAGCAAACATTGCTGCCATAACCTCAGATACAGCAGCATCATTTACTGCCATCCCACATTCTTGCATTCCTTGAGGTAAAAAAATACATCTTTAGCATTGATACATTCATAGAAATATAAAAGTGTCTTTTTTTCCCCTTATTGTGCTTTTATGTGGGAATATTGCCTTCACTCTGAACAGCTGGGAAGAAGGACCTCAAGAGTTGGTAACCCTGGGGGAACATCAGTCTACACTGTGGATCATGAGCCAATTCAGGCCACTTCACAACAGGGGCAAGTACCTTGTGAGTTGAATTATCCAGTTGTTTAAACTGCAACCACATCTGATAAATATGCATCAGTAAATGCCAGGTTCAGATATTAAAAGAAGGAACCTTATTTCCTTTAAATAGATAGATATATGGCAAGCTGGATTTCCACGGGGTGACATGCAGCATGTTAATGTGTGTCTACAGGCACTACTCAAAAGGCTCAGAAAGGCATGCAGAGAGAATGAGAGAGAGAAAGGAGGAGGGAGAGAAAGAGCGGTGGATGTATGGAGAGATACACTGGAAAAGAGAGACAGAGGGAGGAAGTGTCCTTGTGCTTGGTGTGACAGATGACAACAGGGGTTGTGCTGCCTGAGGCAACCAACTTATTTCACCCTCTACCCCCCGGTCCCCGAAGGACAGTTTTAAAAAACACAATACACCCTGTATCTCTCCTCACGCCATTCTGTGCTCCCAGTCCAACTGGCCCCAACCAGCCATGTGCTGGTTGGGGCAATCCAGGGCATCAGGCATAGGTTGAGTGAGCAAGGAAAGAAGGGCTAGACAGGAGCAAAATAAAGAGAGGACAAAAAGAACTCTCTCCCCCTCCACCATGTCCCCCGTGTCCTCCATTATGGCATAATTTTGTTGTTGCTCTCTGAAGACACATTAAGGTGGGTGGGTTGAAGGTTGGGTATGAGCTGCCATCATACAGCACCACAACAGACCCAAACCTCTACATAACAACACAACGGTTCTATAAGGTAAAGTTGAGACACCTAAACCTCCTGTACTTGTTGTCATGCAACTAGAATCTTACACACGTGCAACAAAAAGAATCAGAGGGAACCAAAAATAAAAAGAATCCGAGTTGTGTCCCTGCAAATGTCCTCCAGTGATGCGGGGGGACCCATTTGATCAGTTTGATCTTCGGTTCAGGAACATGTCCCAAAAATATCCTGAAAAATGTCCTGCAGAGTCTAGGAAAATTCAGTTCAGACTAAGGGCTGCTACAAACCCTTTATTAGGTTGTGGCAGGTCCCCACAAGTCCAGTTTGAGGAGAACACCTAGAGCCCTGATGAGGGGCCTCATCTCCCCCCGTCCTGCAGAGGAGGACTGTGTACCCTTGACCTGATTGAGCTACAAGCCCCGTCTTTGAAGTGGGAAATCTCTGGCGAACTGAGGGGTGATGAATACATGTTAGGCTGTAACTGAAGTGCTGATGAGTTAGGTGCTGGAGTTGGAGCTGAGCTGGGGATAACTGTATGCCTCAGCTGGAGCTCCTGGGGCCTACGTGTGAGAGAATCTGCATGGCATATCAGATCATGTTGCTGGGGGATGGTGAGGGGAGAGGAGGGCAATGACATAGGTGTGTCTGTCCAGATGAGGGCAGTCTGAGAGGAGGAAGGTGAAGGATAAGACTGAGGAGGGTTAGTATGGGGCAGGTATGTGTGGTGTGCTGGGGAGTAGTGTGTGGGGCAGACTACTGCAGGCTGTGGCACTGATGATATAAGGGTCTCCATGAGTTGAGCCATCCTCTTCATGACTCGTCCAAGGTCAGCCACTTCCCGCCCAAGGCTGCTCACCTGCAGATACAAATAGAAACTATCTTTATTTTAAAGAAGCAAAAATATGCCATATTAAGGGATAGGTTGTGGCATAATAATTCTGGCACTCAAAAATAAAGGCCTAGTACTGTAAATTATCAAGACATACCTCTGGGTATTGGGTATAATACTTTGTTGCCTTTGCCTTTGTTGACACACAATGAACCCAAACCTAAAACCAGTCTAAAGATGTGTTAAGGTACATAAACACACACACACACACACACACACACAGTATATACGGTTCATAATGTATTTCAGACATTGATTGTATATAAGATGGATAGCACATCACCACTTGCCTCCTCTAAGCAGAAATGATGGCAAATTATCACGAATACTGCAGCTGCCAACAAACTCACAGTATAATGGCCACTTGTACACACATCACCATGATAACATCTACCAAACAGTGACAGAAATCACCACAGGCAAAAATGTATTTGATTTGTATTTTGTTTTTACTCTGTTTTATCTATGTAGAGCTTGCAGCCAATGGTGCATGTAATTTTGTATAATATGATGACATGGGGTAGGACTGGATAAGTCTGACTTCTTCCTACTCCATTCAAACATGTAATAGGTGTAAGAAAACTGATTTTGGATTAGCATTGGTTGGATATGTGTAATTATGTGTGTTGTTGTCATTTGTTCATTTTGTTCTGTTCTGCATGTTTGAAAGAATAAATCAATCAATCAATCAATCAGTCAGTTTGGTTCTTGTCCCATCCACTAACAATGCAGGGGGCGGGGTTTATGACCTATACTGTGACCAGCCACCAGGGGGTGATTGACCCACAGTGGTTTCACTTCTGGGAGCTGTCACAGTGTCCATTGTATACACAGTCAGTGCCTCAACATCCATCCATCTATCCATTACCTATACTTATTCCTGAATAGGGTCGCAGGGCGGGCTGGAGCCTATTGTATCCCAGCTGACATTGAGCAAGAGGCAGGGTACACTCTGGACAGGTCACCAGTCTATCACAGGACTATGCCTCAACATGAAAGGTTCAAATGTTTTACCAGTCAGATTTAAAGCAGTAGACACATGCTTATACAGTAGGTACACTGAAACATTATTTCTACTGTTCATAGGTGACATTTAAAGACTCCTTCCAACACACTTTCAATATGAAGAGACCTGGGGAAAATTCCACTGTCCTCATCCTGTGCAATAAACAAACAAACAAACAAACAAACATCCAAGATATATCTGAAGTTAATACCTCACCCAATATTTATTAAACTGTGACTGTGTCACCACCTCTTCACCTCTTGCACTGGCCTATATGCCTACAACTCTCAAAATGGAGTCACTGCCAAGTAACTGGACTTTTCGGTTATGCAATAAAGACCAACCTTCTAGGAAACACTATTCACTATTCATTATAAAGTTGGTATTTTCAGGTCAGTCATTTTGGGCTATTATATGTGTCCCCTGACTGCTGTATTGCATGTAACATCATGCTGCTACGACTGGCCATTACACCGATGGGGAGAGGGCTGGTGATTAGTTGCTCTTTGCATGAGACATGTCCACAGAGAGCATGAAGCCGTGCCAACATGCCATCTGCTTCTGCCGGTCATAGCACACATAACCATTCATCAGGCCAATCACCCACATCAGTGCTACTGGATGCACATCAGCCCTCAGCAGGACAGAAAACTCCAGGTGCGAAGTCCTCCAATCATTTCATGAATACGTCAAGATGTGATCACATACCTGTACGTGCATTTGTTTTCCTAAATATGAATAAATACTAATGATTTTACACTGATTTAACCCTCCTGTTATGTTGCGGGTCAAATTGATCCACGAACATAACTGCTGAAAAGGCAACACCTGAGAAATGAACATAACAGGAGGGTTCCCTCCTGTTATGTTCATTTCTTCATATCAGATATTTGTCTCATTTAAAGCATTTATGTTCGTGGGTCAATTTGACCCACAACATAACAGGAGGGTTAAAATAGTAGTGCCACTGCACATTTAACAGTATTTTTTGTTACATTTTTGATACCCTTTCATATCAAGGATGCTTAATCTTATCCCTGAGCTTTAGTAGAAGAAAATATCCTCTCTCCCTCATTGGAGTGGCTGATAAAAGACAGAGTCTGAGCTCTGGCTCTGATAAAAATAGAAAAGTTGCGAGTGACAGGACAGTCCAATCTGACACGCTGTCAACATGATTCTAGTACGCCCACCTCAGAGAGACTACTGTCTGTGGAGATGGTCAGACAAAACATGAGCAAAGGATGACCAGAACCCACTAAAGCTACAGGTACATGTTAAACCATAAGAGTTATAAAAATATGAGTCTGAATGTGTATTCAGGAGCAGTACTATAGCACATAGTATATACTATACCACTATTAAGCAACAACTGATTCATCAAATGTCAATGAAGTCCTGATTATCCTTTCGGTACATTCGTATTTTATATAAGTACACTGGCAAAACTCAGCTCCATTTTCATATTCAATCTGAGTATGATTTTCTTCAATACCATGCTGCACTAATCTATATTTTTATATTAACAAAAGATCAAATATGAATATGAAAAGGGCCAGTCATAGTGTCTAACCAACTGCAGCTTCAATGTTTTGGATCAGCCTCACCGCTTTCACTTCCAGACAACCAACAGCAAAATTGCTTTCACAAACACAATGTGCGCTACATGTCCAGATTCAAACCACACACTGACAAAGTTAACAACTGGTTAGGGAACACAGTGGACCATTTAGCAACCAAAGAGCCAGATATCTCACTAAGTAGGTTGTGGACACCAAAACAGAACAAAATCAAGCATGAACAGTGGTCAGAAACATGTCTTCATAAGTGACACGTCTTTTTAACATGATAATATGTCAGTGTTGCGTGTACAACTTATTCAACTACCTCCAAGTGACCATAAAAATCAGTTATTGTTGCTTTAAAGTCTATGTACTGGTTAAAAATTCTTTTAGATATACAAAATCAAACGATTAACAACTGGATTTTGTTTCTGTTAATTAAAAAAGTGGGTCACTATTGCTGTATGTTTATGTTTGTGTATGTATGTCATGCCATAGTGTGTTTCTAGCCTCCTTTCATAGTTATAAGTGCAATTAATCAGGCTGTTCAGACAGTGACCTCATTATCCCACCTGTCCTATGCAGCTGTACATTATGCTTTCCATAACAGAGAACAAAGGTCACAGTGTTTGGCCTCTCTTCAGTCTTATTAATGCATTATTCATCTCCCAGTAGAATAAAACCTTCAAATGCATAGACATACTAAGTGTATTTATTTAATAAGCACTGTGCATGTTGCTGACTGAATGGTGAGAAAATGGGCTAATGCCAGCACAAATACATCCCCCTTCACAAATAAACACATTTTGGTACCACCTGCATGTGCCACATATTGTACAGTGCCCTAATATATCTTTGTTATTTGTATGTTTGTAGAGAGAAGACGTGGGGTTTAAACCAACAGCCTGATTTCGTCCCCTATGGTGATCTGATTCAAGTGGGAATTAGCAACCAACAAGACCATGCTGCGAGACTTCCTGTCAAACAGTGGCGACCCACAGAGGCAGAAACAAGGACAACAGAGCCAGTGTGTATAATTGTAAAGGTGGCTTTCATATTCCTCTCTTTACCCCTTTCTTTTTTTTGTAGTTTTAGCCCTCTGCCTTTTTCTCTTTTTGCACACTACTTTTCCCTTATGTCACATTCTCTTTTCTCTTTGCTTCTATGTACTCATCCCAGGTTTCACATTGAGGCTGAGCAAGAGGAACCAAACAGTCCTCCTCACCCACCAAAAGTCTAATGTCAATTTAGCCAGCTGCCAATCAAAACCATACGAGACAGCAAGAAAGACTGTGTGAATTGTCAAGCTGGTCAGTTGGGCCACTAAAGTCTCTAAAATATCCAAGTATGCTGCTACAAAATGCCAAAGCACAGTAGGTCTACACATCTGGGTGTAAAAAATACTAAAGAAACACTGTAAATCAGGAGCTTATTTTTAGAAACCATTTCTTGGTTCTCAGTCCTGTCATTCGTCATGCGCCTGACATGCTGACATAGCTATATGGCTTTTGCTTACCTGAGCCCACATGTCTCTCTCTCTCATTCTTGCTCTCTCTCTTTCTCACCACATACACACACACACACACACAAACACAAAGCCCTACCTGCTGGTTGAGGTGTTGCAGTTGTCCTCTGGTCTCCTCTGTTTTAGCTGCTATTTCAGCTGTGCTGATCCGCAGCTTTTCTGTGACACAAATTAAAAAGTAACAAATCACTTCAAGCATCAAACAAGAACTAAAAATTTGCACCCAGCAGTTATCGCATCAAGGCAAAAAGCTGATAGGCATTGAGAGAAAATATAAAGTCACATTAATCAGCCTCATTATACAACAGTACCACAAGGTTTTGGATGTGAGCATTTTTCACTTCCCTGAATGTGGGGAGCTGAAGGGATTGTAAATGACATTTCGTCAAATTTGAGAGGTAAGCTGTTTTGTTGAGTATGACGAGAGGACCTGCAGCAGATGCTGAGGCACTGGTTGGTCTTTTGACAGGACAACCTTGGGTGGTGGACAAGGAGAAGGCCCGGGAACTCTCCGTCCCCTCATTGGCTTCAGTACCATCCACGATCCTGCAGAGACAGACACAAGTTTGTGTTAAGGGGGTAAGATTGCTACTGATGGCAAAAAATGCTGGATAATCTTAAAGCAATATTAAATATATTATTGTTTAATAATATTTTGATATTACACTATATTTTGTCTTAGATTAGTTATTGTAAGATTGTAATATTGCATAAATGTTTTGTTTTCCATGTTCTTACATCTGAGACAGTTGATATAATATGATTGATATAATAATCCTAAACTAAATGAAGATGCTCATCGAAGGTTCAGGAGCAGGACCACACCCCAACTACACACCTCTTCCTGTTATCTACCTATAAATGCTCCACATTCTACCTGCACGGTGCTTCCATTTC